GATGGTATCGTTAGCCAACACTAATCACAAACTGCACCATTTGTCAGGAAGTATGGAAACCTTTGGCAGAGCTGGCCACAGCGTACGCTCCACCACAAATGGATTACAGATGTTCCGAAGTAAAAAGCCTTTTTGGATCCTGACAGGGCAAATAGTTGTTTTAAACTTGAAGAAAGAGAAACGGAGAACTCAGGAAACGCGTCAGATCTTTTGTGAATACAATTTAATGTCTGATTCTGTCACTTGGCCCTGCCCGCGTAGGAAAATTAGCTCAGTTAGCTCCACAGCCAGACGCTGTGAGTCAGAGATTTCACTCAAGAGCGAGAGGGATCATTTCCTTAAACAGAAAGAAAAAAAAAATGACAAAAGAATATAAAATCTCATTCCAACCTGTTTCTTTCTAAGCACTTGGAAACCAGCATTTAAAATGGCATTCAAAAACATCAAACTACGTCAGAAATCCTTTTTTTCTCCCTCTCTCTCTTTTTTTTTTCTCCTCTCAGGCTCTATTTTCTGACAAATCGAGTGGCCTGGATTTGCGGTTTCACGGATCTCCGACACGCTTTCGCTGCTTTACAAAGACAATTTTATTTGGAAGTTAATGTGCTCCCTCCAGATTTATTTGTGGCTTGCTATTTGTGAGGTTGTCACACACTTTGAAATGTAAATGTTCCACTCCGGGACCACAGACTTGCATCAACTTACCTTCCCCATTATAATTTTACGAATATTTTCACTGTGTGAGCTTTCTGTCTCAGGTTTCCGTTAATAGCCTTTTGAAACAGTTTATTCTCTTCACCTGCAGAGGAGTCAGACACTCAGACCCTCTCTTACGTCATTTTTTGAATTACAGTGGGGGCCGCTTTGGCCAAACACTCAACACCCACTAACTCATGGATCTGGATCTCTTTCCCATCTCTGTCCCTAACAGCCACATAAACTCGTCAGACCTGCGCGATACAAGCCATCAGTAGGTGTTTTGGTGGAGCCCATAAAACTACAAAAACAAAAGGAAGTGAGGAGTATTTTCCATGGCGCGATGATGTCAGCGACGGAGTTCACAGTAAGCTTGAAAAAGAAAAAAAAAAAAAAAAAAACTTGGCAAGTGGTGCTGGACAAAAACGGTCTTATTGGGCTTAGGACCAACAGCTGGTTCTGGTTACCTAGTAACTCCCAAGCTGGCGGGCCTTGGAGATGAGTGAAATGAGGGAGGGGAAGTGCTGACCCCCTGGTGGGTTTTTCTTTGTGGCAAGTGCAGCAGGAAGCAAAGCACAAGCTTGATCGTAATTACATCAAACCTTGTCCCTGCAGGCCACCCAACCTCTGAACCCAAACACAGTGCGAGCTGCGAGGAGTGGAAGTGCCGCGACCATTGATTCAGCAAACAAAAACTTGATTCGGCCCTAATTTTAGCTACAGTTTGCGTACTTACGATAATGATATGGATCGGCGGGGGGTTTATAGAGGGTTAATGCTAAAAATTACACAACGGTTTTTTTTTTTTTCAATGTAAAGCTTTGCAGCAAAGTAAGTGTGACTGTGAAGGTGAGAGCTTTAAACCTCTGAGAGATTAGAAACTCTTATTTTGAAGGACGAAAGCAAGCCATTCTTGAAATGCACTGACGTGACAAGAGTTAGCTAGTAAAGACGGCTCATGGGGCGGCTAAGTCAACAACAATCTTTTACAGCAGCACTGAAACTACAGTCATCCATGTGCGAGTGTGTTGGCTGCTCGGAGGAAACTGAGAGCGGGAAGAAAAAAAATACTGAGTTTGTAAGCGAGAATATCGCAACAGCCAGATAAGTTCTTTTAAAATGAACACATTCGAGATAAAAATGAACCACTTGCAGACATAACGCTGTATTATTAAATGATGCTCTAGCTTGTTTATGCAGACAGAAACATTTTGCTCTAAAGGTAAGGGCCTGGTGACTGCTGCCTGCCCAGTGGCACAGTCCAGGGTGCTGTGTCCATATACGTCCGTCTCTGTGAATATCTGCTTTTGATCATGTTTCCCTTTCTAATGAACTTGCCTTAATGTCATTCTTTTTGTTGACGATTTGAACTGAAGGCTTGTCCATGTAAACAGCATCGTTTGGTTTCGGGCAAAGTATTCGAGTTATACTGTAGAAAGGGGCAGCAAAATCTGAAAATATAAATATCATCCTTAATTGCAGATCAACATTAATTTTAAGTCATCTCGGGGCCCTAAGAAGAAGCAAAGTTAGCGTCTCTCACTTAGACTTGTCTAAACTTATCAAAGCTGAGCGGGACAATCCACTAAAAATTGGTTTAAAACATACAAAATTGTCTTTCTATTGTAAAACTTCACAATGTGAGAAATGTAATGTCTGCTGCTGCTTCTTCTTTTTCTTTTTTTTTAATAGGGATTGATTGCCAATTCTGACACTCATTCTCAGTCTTGTCTTGTGAGGAGAATGTGTTGTTGCAACTCTATTAATCATAAAAGTCCCAGAGCTTATGAAACAACAACAAGGCCATATCAGTGTCTCCAACAGCTTTCCAATCCACCTATCATATTTTCTTGCTCTTCAAGTTTGTCCACTTTCACACTGAGTAGCAAAAAAAAAAAAAAACTGAACAAAAAACCCCCAGCATGGTTACACTCTCTTACTGTCCATGCATGTTAATAAAAATCAGGGCCTTGCATTCTTGTGCGTGTTTACGATCCCTTAGGCAGTAGAAAAAGAGGGGAGGTGTAATCTTTTCTTTGGCAGAGTTGCCTTCGCTGGCTCCCAGGCAGACCCTTTCAGCGCCCAGCTTCACTGCCGCCAACCCCAGCCTGTCTCTTGTTCCACTTATGTGGACACACAAAGACATTGTTTGTCCTTCCCCTGCGCCTGCCCACCCCCTTTTAAAGTTATCACCATCCAAATGGTCCAACGGAGGGGTGAGGAAGGGAAAGGGAGAGAGGAGGGCAGGGTGGGATCACATGTAAAAGTGGAAGAGAGTAAAAAAAAAAGGAAGGAAAGGAGGGGGGGGGGGGCAAAACATATGCTGACGCAAAGATATCACAGATGGTGTCAGTGCTAGCTGAGGAAGAAAGACAAGCGCCTATTCTCCTTAGAAGCAGCAAGGCCAGGGTTTGGGACAAAGGCAGCTGCCGGCGCTGACAGGCAGCAGACGGTGGACATCATCTTTACTTCACATGCACTCGCAGAAACAACTGCGTCCAAAGGGTTTCGAGATCTGTTAACAGCGACAGAGGCGCAAACATATCCAGGAAATCTGCAAAACTGCTTTTATGTAGCGTGCTTTGCTTTAGAATTACAGAAACCTTTCTGCAGGATGTATGGTACCCCAAACCGAAGTCCAGTGGTTGCAATTCCCCACCGCTGACCCCCAAGTGCACACCGCCAAACTTGCGTGCACAGTTGTGAACGTGAATATAGGCACACTGGTTCATTTTGCACGCCTGTGTGCTTTCATTCATTCATTGATCCATTCATTCAACAAGAAAACCTCAATTATTTCTTGCATTCCTATTTTAAAATCTACAGATATTTCATCTTTATATATATATATATATATATATATATATATATATATATATATAGCGCTAGCCTTGATCTTTCATACCTCTGTCTAGGAATCAAATGTCAAGATGAATCAGTTGTAATATTTTTAATTTTTTCTTTTATTGTGGTGAAGCCTCTATGTAGTTTAAAAATAATGTTCGATTCAGACAGCTCCTGGTCAGAGGTTAAATAGTGATTCAGACACTCAAATATTGGTGTTTTATTCATACATGCATACAAAACAGTTATGACAATGTAGTTATAATAATGAGTGATGCTACATCAGTGAAATCCTCCTGATACCGAGGCTTTAGTACATGTTGACCTTTTACCACTTCTGCAGGCTTTGGTTGGGCTTTTTAAACAATTCAAATATGAAAACATGGAGTTGTGTCAGTAACAGTCTATCACTGCTACTACTTATCACTTTTATATTGTTTAACAGATTAAATGTTTGTCCAGACAGTTAATAGTTTCTCTAAAGACGCGGATGGGAGAGCTTTCAAACAGCTTGCGCTCTTGGAAGGCAAACTACATTCCCTCACTCTCAGCTATTGACACTATCTAAACTTTCAATGAGTCACTAAATACTGGACTACTTCCAAGTTCAGCAGACATTTCCTAGCATTAGCATATATGCTAAAATGCTAATGTTACCACAGTAGTTATTCCTAATACAATACCTACAATTAGCAAAGGCAATTAATGTTAGCCAGATTAGCATTTTCACTAATGCCAGCATATAAGCTGATTTTAACTAGGCAGATTGTGCTACCTAATTTTAGCTAACATACAATGTCAGGATATCTCCTTCAGTAGAGCAGACTAATGTAATAACAGCTCCAGCTTGGCTTTAATTCATTATTTAGTGTAGTATTCTCACCCCCTGAGGAGGACAGACCCCCAGGCTGAGAATTGTAGCTTTATACTTTGTGTCACCTGCAATGAAATCTCTACTTCGTCTTAAAACACTGAAAGTGAGGAAAGAAACATTCTAATACTATATCTCTTGTTCTAAATGTGATTCCTGTAACAGATTTTGACTTATCAGTTTTTTTTTATCTTTTATTTAAAGCGTCAACATTTTATGCAAAGGCACATGGAAAGATTTTGTGAAATACAGTGCAAACGTAACACTAAGCCCTTACACAGACGAGAGCTGCTCATACGCCAAATCATGTGCGACCTCTGACCCTGATCTCACTCTCTTTATACTCGTGTGCAAAGCTCTGCAAAATTGCCCGTCTCTCACACACACCGATTCCACGATCCACTTCATTTGTAAAATATAAGAAGCCCTTTCATCTTACAGCCAACTCCCTCCTCCCTGCAGACACCACAGACATTTATTATTACCCATGATGGGTGCAGCAACACACACACGCACGCACGCATGCACGCACACACACACACACACACACACACACACACAAATATAAGATGAGAACTGTTCCTCTTGCCTGGGAAATGCTGTCTCCTCATTCTTGAAATCAGGTAATGCACATGGCAGAAGGAAATTTTAGAGGTGACGGACAGAAAGCAGATTTGGGCGTTGGTGTGTTCTCACACACTGTGCCCTGGGGTTATTCTCCTCTCTGCCTCCCTTTGCCTCCTCCTGCTCCAGCCTCCTTCTGTCCTCTATCGCTTGTCTCGCTCCCCCGCTGCTCGTTTCCAAATCTGTCCTCCTTCGTCACCTCACCCCAAGAAGTTCCATTTCTCAGATGACTGGTACTGTTGGTGTTGGTGGTGGGGGGAGAGAAGAAAAATGGATGGTGGCACAAGAGGGCAGCGGGCGAGGGGGAGGGACGCGGAGAAGAGAGACGATGGCCACTCTCCCCGCTCTCTGCTCGTGCGGTCAAAAACGGATCCTTAAACTCTTTTAATCTCCAGAGAGGAGGAGGAAAATTAAAGGATCTTTCTTCTTTTTTTCTCCCTCCGGTCGGCGATCGGCACTTGTCTTTTTTTTTTTTTCCCTCTTTCCCCCCCCCTTTTTTCAGCTGGATCACTCGTATCCGTTTCTCTCCAGCCTCCTCTCGGTCGGCTCCGTCTCTCTCCTCCTTCTTCTCCTTCTTTACAGCAGGTTCGGGCTATTCATTCAGACGTCAGGCTCGCTCCGTCAGCCTTTTGTTGGAAGTCACAGCGAGACGCAGGGAGAGAGAGGAAGAGGTGGGGGGGCGTAAGAGGAGAAAAAAGGAAAAAAAACAAAAAGCGATAGAAAGAAAACAATCTGCTACCACAGCTATGTGAAAGAAAAGAAAAAAGGGAGCGAGAGGTGTAGCAATCCTGGCACATGTTTCTCCTCCATTCTCTCTGACCTTCCCTTTTTACATTACATACTTTCCTTTTTTTTTCCCCTCTCTCCTCCCTTCCTCCCTCCCTCTTTCTTTCCCTGCCTCTATGTTTTATTATTTGTGATCTGGGCTTTAAGACTGCCCTCTCTCCCCCTTCGTCCGCCTCACACCCTCAAACTCTCCTCCAATATCTGACGCTGCATTTCCTTTTTTTTTTCTTTTCTTTTTTTTTATTCCACTCCACTCTATTCTTCTTAAAACAGGCAGAACTGGTTTTGCTGCACCTTTTAAGTAGGTTTTGCTTTCATTAAGTTCAAAATGAAGCACACAAATACAAGCTGAGACGGAGTGAGAATTGCTTGTGTCCTCACTAAAACTAGGAAAATAGAGCACGTCGCCCCAGTTTGAAAGTTCCTACTGTGGCTCCCCGTAGCTCAAAGAATACGCTTGAAAATGCCGTTAGTTCAGAAACTGCTGAACAGTTTAGCACCGAAACACATTAGAGATCTGCTGTTGTCATTGTTATCAACCTTCCAGAGCACGCAGGTCTTCTGGTTCTGGTCTCCTCTACGTCAACAGAACCAGAACCAAACATGGAGAAGCGGCATTCAGCTTCCATGCACCACAAAATCTGGATCAAACTTCCAGAAAACTGCAAAAACAACTGAAACACTGAGTTCCTTTAAATCAGCGCTAAAATCCCATTTGCTTCGAGTTTGATTAATTATAATGATGGCACTTGACAAAATGTAACGCTTATTTCTCGTGTCACAACTGGTTTCTGTATTACGTTTTTATGGCGCAAAGCACTTTAAAGCTGTTGCTGAAATGTGCTGCACAAAAACACTTTATTTGACCACAGTTAGAAAAAGGAAAGCATTTCACTTTCTGAACTACAGTAAATTGTCCACAAATGTTTGATGGCAACAAACAATTAATCGGTTTAAAACTAAATGTTAACATTGCCATTTGGAAACACCGTAGCTTTTAAATGTTTCATGTCGAAAACGACAATTTTCTGTCGCACTGTTCCACAGGTTCACTGTCCTAACAATGAGCTTTTGATGAAAGAAATCAGATATCCGTCCACCCCTCCTGAAGCAGCGTCTCCGCTTTTCTTCACATAAAACAAACACAGTGGCCCGCTTGGCAGTATTAGAATAGAAAAAAATGAAAAATGAAAAACACGGAGCGCAGTGACAATATCCTAAAAGTGCAGTTTTCAATCCGTGAGCAGACTGGCTCTTATGCACTCTGTGCTTATTGTGCAAAACCCGAGCACCGTAAACACTACTTCTAAAGTTAAAGAGTGGCAATCCTTCAAGTTTTGCTTTAATATGCGCCTCAAAAATATAGTTTCAGTGTGACAGTAATAATATGTTTTCTTTTAGCAACATTTTTACCTGCGCTTTTAGGTTTTAAATAAAATCTCTTAGATTATGTTAAGTATGATCTTGTTTTAATTTATTTCATAAAAACACTCAAACGTGGTATTTTTCTTCAAGGTCATGATATGGTGAGAATTTTATGCCTTATTGTAATAAAGGTTTTTTTTTCTGCTTTCTGAAGTAATTTTAGTAGTAGTGCTGATCTGAGTGCTGTTGTGCTGCACATAACCTACATATAATCTACTGAATAATGTTGTCAGTTCTTGTGTTTAACAACATAAGAAGTCTGTTTCAAAGTGTCTAAAAGCAACAATTATATGAAAATCTCTCCAAGACTCCAGGATTAAAAACCAAGAAGAGATTAGTGTATTTACTACGACACCAGACTGACAGGCCAGCCCAACACTAAGCCACTTTTCTAAAAGGATTTTTATGAGACCACTTCTGATCAAGATTTTTTAAATGAAGAATGTTTTCTTAGCTTGAGAGTCCTAAAT